TTCCGCCCCCAAACTTGACAGTTTTCTTAGTACACTTTGCACTTAATCTTTCACCAATACGTCTCTTTACATTGTTTTTTCCATCATTTCCAAATAAATTAAACTTGCTTTCATCACTGAAAAATACTTTTGCCCAATTTTCATATGTCCAAATTACATACCTGTTTGCAAAATCTGATCTCTTCTTCTTATTCTTCGAACTAACAAGTGGTTTCTTCCCTGGGGTTCGATTAAACAGCCCTATTTCTTGCAGTCGTCTACAAACAGTCTGTCTTGACACATTAACACATGAGGTACTATTCATAACCCTTTTTAATTTCTGTGCAAAACTTAAAACGGTCCTTTAACGACATACGCTGCATTATTCGATCTTCTCTTGCCGAAGTTTTGCGGGGTCTGCCGGTTTTAAAAGCACTAACTATTTTACCAGTATCATTGTAGGAGGATTTACACAACTCTTGGAACGTTTCACTTTCTCTGAAATCTCTCTAATGGTGTGCTTTTCCTTGTGTAGCTTCACAATAGCTTGTCTCGCAGAGTAATCAAGTTTTTTGGCGTTTCGCCATGGTGCCGGCTGATGCAACGTTTACAAATGACTAAGTAAGACTTATTCTTCAGAGGAAATCAAAAATTTGAATATAGCATACTGTTTACATTGTTTTTCTCAATTTTGTCCATTACTTTTGGACGATCCTATTTTGAAAATAAATAAATAATTGTTATAATTCTTTTTCTATCCTTTGCAAATGATTCAAATTTTAGTATGTTATTATGGATGATAACGAGTACCAGTTGTCAAAATTTCAGCTTTTCACAGTTGTTATTTCTAACAAATATTAGGTTTTAAAATTTTGTCCTTTAGTTTTGGACGCTACTGTATATGTAATATATATATATATATACATATATATATATATATATATATATATATATATATATATATATATATATATATATATATATATATATATATATATATATATATATATATATATGTGTGTGTGTGTGTGTGTGTGATTGTGTGTCTTCAAGCGAATGTAGCGTGTAGGTCATAAGGAGGACTCGCCTTCTTCGAGCCTCGTGAACTGGCACTAAATATCACAAAGAACTGTACGACTAAAATTCCAACAGCAGCAGCAGCATCAACATATGGATGGCACATATACCTTGAAGAGAAAATAATGACATCTCGAAAATGTTGACGTTCCACACCACTTCAAGCAAAACGTTAGGAATGAACCCCCACCCCCGCAGTACTGGAAAGAGCAATAACAGTTACTGATCTTGAAGAAATCTATTTGCCCAAAAAATTGTTTCAATAGAAAGTTTTTTAAAATTTCAATCGACGCTAGCAAATGGCCGTTCGGTCGACAAATGTTACCTTAACGGCTAATATTATCGTTGCAGTAAGTGAACTCCTACAATACAAACTATTTTTCGGCTTTAAATAATCTAAATAATCAGCCAACATTCTAATACTATTAATACTACTATTAATATTACTGCTAATGCTTCTTCTTCTTCTTCTTCTTCTTCTTCTGCTTGCTAACCATTACACCTCCTCGAGGTGCCCAAAGTGATATTCTAAGCGTTGCTTAGATCTAGCACAAGGCCGAAAGTGGTGAGGGGACACCCAGTGAGGATCGAACTCACTACTCAGTCGTAATTGTTCTAGCGAGACAAGCTTGCTAATCATTACGATATTGAGTCCCCTCCCCCACTGGGGCAACATGTGACACAAGGTCGGTTGTTTATTGTGGGTTTCCCGAGCCCGTGGGCTCGGCCCAAAAATATGCCCGTTTGAACCCGTATAAACGGGTTCAGGGCCGGTTTTACCTCCCCGAAGGAGACTCCGCCCTTCGGCGTAGCCTCCTTCGGGTTCCTCTCCGTCCGAAGACAGAATTGAACCGATCAGTCGCTCAGAAAGTGAACTACTGACTCACTAACCCTAACCCTAACCCTGCTCGCTTGCTAACCATTACACCACCTGAAGGTGCCCCTCACCGAAGTTAAGTAGTGTCGAGCCCGATCAAAACTATCGTAGCGTCTTGCTGCTCTGTTACTTTTGTTGCAGCAAGCGGATTATTTCACTTTAACCTCGAACAGTTTCTTCGACGTTATTAATTCTGTACATCGTTTCGAAGACATTTTACGTTTGTTATCCAAAACCAATATTATTTCTTTCCTGTTCGTAATTCTATTAGAACCAATTTCATAACCTGACTGTTTGATCGTACTGGCTTTGTTTTATACTTGTCGGAGTTATCTTCTTCTAAATTCTGACAGCACCACATGGGGGAGCTATCACGAAACTATAAATACTTGAGACCCTGTTTCGTTCCGTCTTTCTTCCACTTTTTCATTTTCAGCGAACTACGACCATGTAAGCATATGCAGAAGATAAGTGTTCCCTCTTGTGAGAAACGCTATGAACATTATACACACACGCACACACGTACATATGAATATTCAGTAAAACACAATATTCCCTCCCCACACACGTTAATGTCTTTGTCTTTTGTAAATTCTTTTGTTGTTTAATACACATGTTTGTTTGTACATATATATATATATATATATCGGTTATCGTTGTTCTTTTTTTTGGTAGACTCATTCTCCGAGTCTGCCATATTTGTTGTGGGTAATTTTTCCAGGAATACACGCGTGTTTCATTTCACAACGTGTATACACACAACTTGGCCCACAATATACTGACAATCACGACAGATAATGCGCCCTTTCCCAGAAACTATAACTAAAGTCCACTCAGCCTAGTATGAACCACATGTTGGCTCTGTGGGTGTTGAACAAACACAAATGTGTCGGAGCAAGCGTCTGCAACAGGTATTGGATAGCTACATTAATAGACAGGCATACACGGATACGCACGGCCAGCCACTACCAACACCACAATTACTGGTGGTGGTTGTTTGATTTGGTTTATTTTGTTTTACGGCATATCAGTCTCATTTGATTATTTAATGCCGACAAGATTTTTAGGATAGGTTTTTTTTATGACTAGAATAAGTATTTGTAAGAAATTAGTTTGTAGATCAGGTTTCATTGACGTGTTTTTGTATAGTGGGTTTTTTGCCGAGTGTCAAATGTATTGCTGGTAATATTTTTTTCAAAAAATTATTGCTGTTATTTTTACTATAAAAAATTATTTTTTATACTTTCATATTGTTTTGTCCCCGATTTAGGGGATAACTGTTTGCTCATAGCTGGGACCTTAACAGGTGTTACCACTCCTGGTCAAGGTGGACAGGGGAACAACAGTAATTAAGAGGTTGTTCCACGTTTAACAAAACCTCCCGATCAGAGGTCTTACTGCCGGATGTAGTTTATCGTCATACCCAGGATGGTTATGATAGTAGTTATATTAGTAATGTGGTGATGGTAATAATAAGTGTGGGTGCCGTAATTGTTGTTGCATCAACATGACTGGTAAAAATATTTTCTTTTCTTTTCTTTTCTTTTCTACCAGAATTTCAAGGGTCATGAGCGACTCTATGTTCTAGAATTGAAGAGTTCGCTTCAGGGGGCATAATTCATGCTCGGATCAATAGAAAGTTCGGTAATGAGATTGGCTTAAGTCTAAATGTCTATAAAAAAAGAAAAAAATGAAAAACAATATCTAATCAAATGTTAGAAACATAATAACTTTTTGTCACCTTTCCCTTTAAAGTTAAGTAATTTCATTCATTCTTTCATTCTTTCATTCTTTCATCATTCATTCTTTCATTCATTCATTCTTTCATTCATTTTCTTTCTTTCTTTCATGTTTCCTTTTTTTATTTTTGTTGTATTTTTCTTTTCTTTTTTATGTTTCTTTTAGTTTGTTTTAATGCGATTTCTTTTTTATGCTTTGAGGTGGGGATGGATGGATGGATGTCTTTCTTTCTTTCTTTCTTTCTTTCTTACAAATATAGACTATCCAGTCTTGAATAAGCTCAAATTCGTTCATGCAGTCTTGTGGAGAATGGCTTATTCTCCATTTTGTAGCCTCTTTTCCATGGAAAAAACCTTGCAATCTAATCGCAACTTAGTCGTTATTTACGTGTAAAATTTTCAGATGCGCACCCAATTCTTTACAGCTATGACACATGCTTGCTCCACGGTGCTTAATCACTCTCATTTCCTTCGTATTTTAATTGTCAGAAAAGATTTTCAGTCAGACAGCTGTTTTTACTATATACAACTACTATGTAGAACATACTCCCGCCTGGGTGCTTCCCAAACACCTCAACGTTAAACTCTCCAAGAATCAACTGTTATATATCCGCCTTATTCTCATCATCTTCACATAACATCCTTTCTTATTACACTCACATAACTCAGATCATTCAATAACTGTCTGACATAAGTCACTCTCGATGTTTGTAGTCGGTGAATTTTCGTATAAAAATGGTAAAGAATTTTCTTATAAAGAATAGTAAAAATTTTAAGGACTGAATATGTTAATTCAAAGAAAATTTCTTTGAAGTATTTCATTTTATAGTTTTATGTTAAAGTTACACTAATTTTTTAAAAAATTCCATTTTTTCATTTGAAAACCTGAATTTCTTTTTTCTAATGTAATTCGTTCAAAATTTAAACATCTAAATCCAAAGCTACATCAAATTTTCTGTATCTTTATGTTGTCCGAGAATTTAACAGAATGTAACGAAAACAATTCTATATCCATTTTAGACCTGCCAAAAAAAAATTTATGTTTAATATTACTTTCGGAAGACTTCAATTCTTGGCTGGAGTCATTCTCTTCTTTTGTGATTTCCCCAAGAATAAACGAACGAAAGGTACAAACACAGGCGCGACAGTGAATCTTCATCGATTACTAGCAAACCGATTTCCGTAACGAGTCGAGAAGACGGAAATGGCTCTCAGCCAAGCCGGGAAGAGGTGCTTTCACGCGCTTTTAATCTCTCTCACTAGAGCGTCTACATTTAACATGGTCGATTCCTAGCGTCCCCATAAACTCCATCAAAGACGCGACCATCATGGCCAATTCAGATTCAGCTCCTAACACCTCCATTTCCGCCACGTCTGCAATAACACCCTCTGCTACCATCGTAAACATCTATATTTCCAGCGAACGTTATCACTTGCATCATGGCATCAAACTTCTTTTGGTCATACTATTTACCTAGTCGTGCCAGATTTGAAACTCGGAAATTGTTGAAAAACATCCAGTCAAGATCAAACTCACCGTGACTGGCTTGCGAGATCAGTAACTGTTGGGTTTAATTTAGCATAGGCTGGTTGATTTAATGACATACCAACCTTTGCTAGGTTACTTAATGTCTAGTATAAAGACAAAAATCGCAAGGAATTAAAAGTTAAGCATAGGATCTGTTTAAACCCTTGTCAAAATTCAGCAATAGTTCCGATTTAAACTTGACTCAAGAAGGTAAACATATATCCAATTTACATTTTCGACTTGCATCAAAAGACAAATATTGGTTCGGTTTACACTAGAGTAAAAAAAAAAAAAAGGTAAGCACATGTCCAGTTTACACTTAAGTCAAAAAGTTCTGGTTTCGACTTGCGTCAAAAGACAAACATAGGTCCAATTTAGACTAGAATAAAAAAACTAAACATATGCCCAGTTTACACTTAAGACAAAAAATTAGATGTAAGTCCGGTTTCGACTTGCGTCAAAAGGCAAAGATCGGTCCGGTTTACACTAGAGTCAAAAGCTAGACATAACCCGGTTGCCCATTCTCGTGGCTAGGTTGATTTTAATCAATAACACTATAATTACACTATAATTTACAAAGGTGTGACTTGATACTTATTTATTAAATAATTTTCATCGGAAACATTCATTATATAACGTTCCATACACGTGATTAATATTTACAACTGAATTTAGGTGCATTGAAAAGAAGATTATGATGAAAAATATTTGTTGCGTAAAAGCATTTTATTTATTTAGCCTATCGAGTTATTGATGTACCTTCATATATATTTAGGGATAGATAAATAAGTCTATAACCTTATATATATATATATATATATATATATATATATATATATATATATATATATATATATATATATATATATATTTATTAACTGGATTTTGATATGAATTTTTCACTGTGGAAAATTCGACATATCTGATTAAGATCGATGACTGAATTAAGTTAGAATATTATACTTAAAATAAATACATGGTATGCAAAATAAATTCTTTTTTCATTATAAGGCTACGAAATTATTGATATACTTAAAAATACTGTGACAGTCATTTCTATATTGCAATCATTTTTTACTTCAAATATTGCTTTTCGTGAATCAGCTAAATATGACAAGGCAGGCTCTTAAATTGAATAGCTAATTTCCACTGTTTATTCTAGATATCGACGACTTTACTTCCGGTTTGCTTGTATTCCACTCTGAGACTTTTATATTCTCACCACTTTTAGTCATTGTTTTTTTCTCCTTTTTTATTTACCTTAATTGTATTTCTTTCTACAGTTTGCCTTCCGTCGAAATGTTCCATCTTTCTTTGTTTTCGAAACATTTCGAATGAAGCCTTTGAGTTTTCACTTTCTTACTGGCGTTCATCTTCTTCATAAGTTATCTCCCTTGTTTAATCAATAATGTTTTCATATTTGCGTATTTTAGCTTACAATGTCACAAGACCAACTAATGAATATTTTAGAAGTTACTTATTTCTGTTTTTTTTTTCTTTTTTTAATTTTCTTTTCTTCGAAAGTCGTCTTACTTTCTTCCTTTTATCTATTTTCTTACGTTATTTGTATTTTTGATTCATTCTTTTCCAATCTTTTTTGCTTTCTTTTCTTCATTGTTAAATCGATTCCTGTTTTAAGTAATTTTTGTTTACTCATTCATTCGAGGGGGATATTTAATTATGTCTTTTTTCTTTTTTCTTTCTTTGGCTTTACCCTTTTCTCTCACTTTTCCCTTTTATTTTCTTTCTTTGTTTTTTTTCTTTATTTCCTCACTTTCATTTTCTTTCTTTCTTTGTTGCTTTCTTTCTTTCTTTGGCTTTCCCATTTTCTATCACATTTCACTTTTATTTTCTTTCTTTTTTTTCTTTTTTCCCCTCACTTTCATTTTCTTTCTTTCTTTGTTTATTTCTTTCTTTCTTGCTTTCTTTCTTTCTTTCTTTGGCTTTACCCTTTTCTCTCACTTTTCACTTTTATTTTCTTTCTTGCTTTCTTTCTATCTTTCTTTCTTTCTTTCTTTCTTTCTTTCTTTCTTTCTTTCTTTCTTTCTCAAACTCCTTCCCTTTTTAAGTTCTTATTTGCTTTATCATTGCTTTTGTTCATCCATTTTTCAAAGTATTTTCTTTTTTTTGTTTCTTTTTCTTTTTTTATCCTGTCTCTGATTCATTTCCTCTTTCTCATGTCACTACTTATTTTTAAAAGACTTTTTGGTTTAGATTTTAACATTTATTTTACTTATTCATTTCTTCGCTTCTTTTTTCTCTCTTTCTCTTTCATTTTTTTCTTCGTTAACTTCTTTCTTTCTTTCATTCTTTCTTTTTTCTTTCTTTCTCAAACCGATTCCTCCTTAAAGTACCCTTTTTGTTTATTTCCTTTACCATTATTTTTATTTCCTCATTTTTGGCGATATTTTATTCTTTAGTTTTTATCTCTCTTTCATTTTTATTTCCCTTCATTTATTCTGTCTCTTTTCCTTTCAATTTTGTCTCAAGTCGTCTCCTTAAAATACTTTTTGGGCTTATATTTTAATATTTATTTTATAGAGACATTTTTAGCCAGTTTTCTTCCTTCGCTTCTTTTTCTTGCTTTTTCCTTCTTTCTTTTTTCATTTGTTCATTCTTCCATTTTTTCTAAATCTTCTAAAAATGATTCATTCAAATAGTTTAGTTTTATTCCTTTACCATTTGTTTTCTCATCTTTTTTTTTTTTTTTTTTGCTACTCTTTCTCTCTTTGCTTATTCCCCCTTTCTATCGATGTATATTTTCTGTCTTCTTAGAGCATTTATCCTCTTGATTTTAGACAGCATTACCTATCACAGCTGAATCGCATTTTCTTGATGATATTTCAGTTATATCTTTGGGTTTTTCCTTTGATAAACACCTGACTGCATCGGAACCCCATTAATTTTATTACCTTTCTCGAAAGCTAGTTTGTAACCATCTGCTGACATCCGTTAGATTTATGCAAGGAATTTTTATCTATCTATCTATCTATCTATCTATCTATCTATCTATCTATCTATCTATCTATCTCATTCGCTCCCTTATCTATCTATCTATCTATCTATCTATCTATCTATCTATCTATCTATCTATCTATCTATCTATCTATCTATCTCATTCGCTTCCTTATCTATCTATCTATCTATCTATCTATCTATCTATCTATCTCATTCTATCTTCTATCTATCTATCTATCTATCTATCTATCTATCTATCTATCTATCTCATTCTCTTCTCTATCTATCTATCTATCTATCTATCTATCTATCAATCTATCTCTCATTCGCTTCCTTATCTATCTATCTATCTATCTATCTATCTATCTATCTATTCCTTATATTTTGTTAATTTTGTATCTTCACGTGTGCGTGTGTGTGTTTGTGTGTGTGTATGAGAAAGAAAAAGAGAGAGATAGGAAAAAAGAGTATGTATGTAAATTTCTATATTTTATCGGTCCTTATAATCCTTTCACCAACATATTTTTCATCTTATTTCTGTTGCTTTCTTTTTTACAATGCCTTTCGATATCTTATTCATTGACTGTTGTTGGTATACTGTACGAAACAAAAGTAAAATATAAAACACTGGTGAGATACAAAGGCGCTTCAAAATGATTTCATACTCTATTATAAATTATATTTAGTTTCCTTTATTCGATCCTGTCAGATATATTATTCTCATTCTTTTTTTCCATGCTTAGTGAATACAACTTATTAATTAATTCTTCCGACTCAATCAATCACTGGAATGATTTAATTGATATTTTCATTGAACCAGAATATATAAACATTCAATACTTGACAAAGGAATTGAACTCCCATTGACTAGATGGACGTAAATGCTCATATACATAGGGCAAAGGTCAATCCAGGGCTGGATTTTTTTTTAGAACGTTTATTTTTTTTATGAAAATTATGAGGCAACTGTTAAATGTGAACAAATTCGACATTCTCAGAAGGTTACTGAACAAGGCAAGGACCTAATAACATCGGAAGATACAATGACTGAAAGTGTGTTACTATAATAATTGTAATGGTAATATTTGCTGTTTCCTTATAAAGAAAAAAAACAGAGTAGACTGGGCTCTTTAGCTTTGGCAAGTCTAGGATGAAAGAAAAGGTAAATTCAAAACCGTGAAGAATGTAACGGGAGACCATTCTCTTCGTTTTTTTTTTAAATAATGCATGGCAATTCAAACATAACAGAGAAAAAGAAATTGAGGAGAGTCATAGTTGAACATGGCGTTAAAAAAAGACATTGTTCTAATGACCTCAGGTCAGTGGTTCAGAAACGGTTCGACGCACCTGTTTGGTGCGGCGGAAAGGACACCAGATGGAATGATTGAAAGATAATCAAAGATTTAGAAACAGTTTCAAAGAATTCACATACCAAAAATAAATATGATTTCAAAATTTAAAATATTATGAATTATTTGTAATTGCATGCACGAGTCCCAGTATAGATAGTTATAAATAATTATTGACCAATTTTATCACTGTGATATTTTTGCTTTATATCAAGTACTAGCAGTAGATCCCGGCGTTGCCCGGGGATGTAACAGTAAGAGATAGATCAAGTATCGACCATCATAAAGACTGAAAAATAAAATTGACAAAGATTATTGTTTAAGGTTGACGGATACACATGGCTTAATTATTACTTTTTTTTGTTTTGTTTGTTTTTTTTACAAATTGGTCAAACTCAAACAAAAACATTGTTTTCAATCGTTATGAGTCTATAGATTGAATAGAATTTTATTATAAACAATTGTCTTCTAAATGGAATTTTTAAAGCATTCTGAATGTAAAAATAAAGAAAAAAGTGTGCAAGACAATAAGAAACACTACCTGCCAAAAAAAAAAAGTGAAGTTTTGTTGAAATCGGTTGGAAAATGTAGGAAATCCGATCCCATATATAAACACACACACACACACACACACACACACACACACACACACACACACACACACACAACCTGGGTTTTATAATAAGTATGATTAAGAATATAGTAATTAGAGTTCGCAAATTGGAGGAGAGAGTTATCAATAATAATGTTCTGACGTCGACTCTGCGGTTATCTCCCTTTAACCCTCTCTCTCTCTCGCTCTCTTTTTTTTTTAATGTACTTTTATCGCATACAATTTGGTGAGGCGCGAGCAAATTTTAATTAAGAAACATGCAGCTCGGAGAAAAAAAAAATGTTTGGGACCCAGTGCCTAATGCCGTGCTCGGGGTAGTTTCGTGCAACAACATGAATAGCTACAAAATCAAAACAATAACCTAAAACTTCGAGTCGTGCTCTTAAACAGCTTCGTCACACCGAGACTTTGATATGGATGTCATGTACAGCACCTGACTCGTTCAGAAATATCTTAAGTCTCAGACTAAAGACAACCTCTCTCCGAGAACAATCATTAAAAATGGCTTCGAGCAAATGAAGAGCCTGTAGAGGACCGTCCTTCTTCGAACATTGTGCACCGGCGCTAAACAATCACAAACGAAGAATTGTACCAAATAACAGAAACCACATCATTCAAGCACTTTCAACAGCAGCAAAAACTAAAATGGAAAACATATGTAGCCGTAGAGGGCATAACAGAAACAACATCTATTCATCACATCTAGTCTCCTCTGCTTTTTAAACTCTGGCTGATGGATGATGTAAATTCGTGTCTTTTTAAGGGGCATTTATGCGAAAGTGGTCACAACAGACTTCACGGGTATTTGAACTCAGCTCGATAGGTTTACACGCCGATGGCTATTATGTAACCTGCACATCCTAAATCATTGTATAATCCTGTCAATTATTCATCTGAGAAATAAAAGCAAAAACTATCCATTTATTTTAAAGCTTGGTGACTTGCAGGAGAGTGAATTAACTGTTAATGCCTGATAAGAAATCTTAAAGCTGTTCATTTTTTGCCTTTACAGTTTTATATTTTTTTAAAATATTTTCCAGCTATATTTTATTTTTTTCCCATTTTATTTCATATTTCTCGCCTTATTTTATATTTTCCCGATTTATCTCACATTTCACAGCGTTATTTTATATTTTCTCGCTGTATTATATATTTTCCTGATATTTTTTACATTTTCATGTATTTTATATTTAAAAAAAAATACTTTTCGGCTATCAAAGAGGCTTCTTGTTTTCAGTTTCACTTGCTTTTCATATACTCGCATCCAGGAGAACATATTCTATTCTATCAAAAAAAAATTTTTTTCTGATATAATAGGCTTTTCAGAGGCACTTCGGCTGATAAGTGAAGAAAACTATCCCCAAAGCTGAATACTTTTTTCTGCTTGTCTGACTTCGATCCGTCCAAACTCTATCGATTTACCAACCGTTCTTTCTGGAACTGATCTATAGTATTTTGTTTCTGTTGACTCGCAAATCACTAAAGAAAATTAAACGCTTTCTTGATCTGAGTTCATCTATCTATCTATCTATCTATCTATCTATCTATCTATCTATCTATCTATCCGAGTGGTTAGAACATTCGGGTTCTGACAAGAAGACCCGGGTTCAAATCTCACCGAGTCGATTTGAGATTTCTTGATGTTACCGGTCTGGTGAATTTTTATCTATCTATCTATCTATCTATCTATCTATCAATCTATCAATCCGAGTGGTTAGAACATTCGGGTTCTGACAAGAAGACCCGGGTTCAAATCTCACCGAGTCGATTTGAGATTTCTTGATGTTACCGGTGTGGTGAATTTTTATCTATCTATCTATCTATCTATCTATCCGAGTGGTTAGAACATTCGGGTTCTGACAAGAAGACCGGGTTCAAATCTCACCGAGTCGATTTGAGATTTCTTGATGTTACCGGTCTGGTGAATTTTTATCTATCTATCTATCTATCTATCTATCTATCTATCTATCTATCAATCCGAGTGGTTAGAACATTCGGGTTCTGACAAGAAGACCCGGGTTCAAATCTCACCGAGTCGATTTGAGATTTCTTGATGTTACCGGTGTGGTGAATTTTTATCTATCTATCTATCTATCTATCTATCCGAGTGGTTAGAACATTCGGGTTCTGACCAGAAGACCTGGGTTCAAATCTCACAGAGTCGATTTGAGATTTCTTGATGTTACCGGTCTGGAGGTGGTGATCCCAGCGTACAGCACCTTTGGAAAGTGACTGAAAACCCTAGCACTGGTTAACCCCAACCTTGTGAGTGAAATCGTGTAGGCGGAATCCTTGGGAGCCGTCGTTGGTTGTGCTATCCCGAAGTCACAAGTTATCGTGACCGAGAGTTTGAGCATGCTGGCCTAGTTCAGACTGATTACGCTAGATAACGCACTCTCTCTTCAGAAACTGGCATAGTTCTAATATAAACTACAAATCTTCTCTCTGGGTCTGGAACAAACAAAAATGTGCCTGAGCCGGCGTCTGCAATGGGGATGAGCTAGCTTCCTTATCTATCTATCTATCTATCTATCTATCTATCTATCTATCTATCTATCTATCTCCTCCTCTTCCTTATCTATCTATCTATCTATCTATCTATCTATCTATCTATCTATATCTATCTAACAAATAAATAACTGATATTATAAAACTTTCAGTTATTTGTTTGGATAAGTCTTGTTCTAATGTACATCGTCTTTTCATGTTGCATTGATAATGTTATATTTATGAATATGTCCTGAAGATGGTTTATTAGACCGAAACGTCAGACGTTGACATATTAACATTAAAACAGCATAATCGTATTTAAAGTTTTTGTTTTGTTTTTTTTCCGTATATATTTTCTTCATATATATATATATATATATATACACACACACACACACACACACACACACACACACACACACACATACATATATATATATATATATATATATATATATATATATATATATATATATTTCCAACTTCCATGTCAAGGCTCTTAATTCAGTAGTGATTATTAATTAATTTCAGATCAAAATTTAGCTAATAAAGACAGGCTAAAGTATTATCGATCAACCGTCCTTTGCATGTTTGCTTATAGAGACACTGCGGCTGTGACTAGATTTTGAGCATCGACATCGCTTGATCCGTCCTCAAATAGTGGCAGTGCTGATGTGGCTTTTTATTACGGCAAAGCTCTTTCATGCTTGCAGATATGGCAACTTTGGGGTCTCTGGCAGTCACTGTGACATTAATATTCTGCTGAACTTTTAAATATTTTAGTGCACCAACAGCCACCGTCTTGCTTACGTTCAATGCAAATATTAATGCCGCATAACGTTAGTGTAGGTGGCGTCTTTTTTTGACTTGCCTTGTATAGGCAGACCTATCCACATTCATTATACGTTGGGTCAAATTCAGAGAAATTGACATCAAGATATATATATATATATATATATATATATATATATATATATAATTATTTATTTTAAAAAATTATAACATAAATATGTTATAAAATCACTACAAAAATAGCCATTTTGTTTCAATACCTCCAGTGTCTTATCAAGTGATGATGTTGAATGTAAAATAAATTAATAAATTATTAATAAATTAATTATTGGAATTCATTCCGTATACACCAATTATATACTTGGATATATATATATATATATATATATATATATATATTAAGGAAATCTGTGACAAAGTGGAAGAATTCTTTGCGTTTCGACTTTTGGGACTTAATGCTAAAATTAAATTCTTTTTATTGAAGCCTGTTCAATAGTAAAAAAAACGTCATAATAGAAAAAAAAATTTCCCAGCACCCCTCTACTGTAGGTATGTGTAGCCCTCATCATAACAAATTTAGTCCATTGAAGTGCTCTAGGACGAAATGCGTCACAAGTAAACTTTTCCTATTTTGCTATAGAATTTCCCCATATATATATATATATATATATATATATATATATGTGTGTGTGTGTGTGTGTGTAGGACGCCCATTGCTAAGATACAAAGACAAGCTGAAAAGCAACTTGTCAGCAGTCAATATATGTAAAATGGCGATCAACGTGTTTTAGTGGACTCAGCAATTTGCAATCTGCTTGTGTGAATCATCTTCAAGAAGCGAGAGCAAGATCTAAAAGGTCAGCCAATATAAAAGTGATCTCATCTCACAATCCTCACACTTGCTCGATATGTGACCTCCTTTGTAAATCAGTAGCGGGTTTTAAATGCCACTTAAGGTTATCGCACAAACTTTCACAACTGAATCAATAAGGTGTCAGATCCTCATACGTCGAAACCGACGGGAGAGTCCATTATATATATATATATATATATATATATATATATGATTTACTTATTTGTGCTTATAAATTTTATATAAAAACATCTATTTATTATATTTTCATATTTATATTATTTTATTTTTCCCATGCATATATTAATTTACTATTATATAAATATCAAATTATATAATTTTATATTTACATAAATTTTTTTCCCTCCGAACGTTTGTCCATTAACATTGTTTGCAGTTAAAACATTCTTCCTCCAATGTTGTATACGTCAAGTTTTTCTTTTTATGTCTGACTTTTACACATTTTAAGCTTTTAATGCATTCTGAGACCAAAGCTTAATGTCGTCATTTCATCTTGTTTTTTTTTGTTTTGTTTTTCACTTTTATATGTAAATGATCTAAACTGTCTAGATCTTTCTGTTTTCTATTTTGTCTCCCAATCTTTATTCTGGATATGAAATATTCCATATTATTTCGGGACAGAGATAATCTCTAACCGAGGGGATTTAAGATGGATTCAAAGTAGTCGCTTAATAAGATTATCCATCACAAATATTACAGAGGCAAGTTTAACCCTTGAAATCAGTTTTGTAGTGATAAAGTGATTTAAAACATTGTCTTATTTTGTCTGTGAGAAAGTTTTCTATTAAATTCTGAAAATCTTTTTCTTCCAAATTTTCAATACATTTCTTTTGCAATCATAGTGTTAATGTATTTCGATACTAACATGATTAACTCTATGTATTATAACCCTATTTTGTCAGTAGCATTTGCATCGCTTCCTAACAGCTGACAAATCTTTTATCATGTTTTTCAATGTGTTTCTTAACGTAAAATTTACAACATATAACTAAAATAAAATGAACCTCATTGTTATTCCATAGCGTTTTTCAGTAGGATGCGTTTGAACGTAAGATTTATTTCCACACGTGACTGGTATTCATAACAAATACATGTTATAATATATGTTAGAGATAACATTTTAATTCTTCCGTCAATTCCTGTGCGGGTTGTGCATTTTAAGATATGTTTAAAGTTTAAATGGAAGAAAATATGAAGCAATTTCGTCATTTTACGCACTTTTATATTCAGAAAGGAAAAACAAACTCGGTATGAACGGCCAAATAGGTATGTGCCGTTTATGAAGATGGTGCCATAGCTGAGAGAGTACGGTTTGTCAGCGTTTCCATAGTGGGAACTTTGATCTGGAAAATTCAGAACGTTCTGGCAGGTCTGCAGTCGTTAATGACATAGAAATTGAAAAGCTGACTAAGAATTATCCAAGTGACACGACCCGGGACATCGCAGAGCTACTCTACGTATCTGATATGTGTTTTATTTGGGGTTGTAGGGTTTCGGTATATGAATTGCTACAATTCTGAGTGCTTCTCGATTTAATATAAAAAATATAATGGGTTACATTTCCCTCTGAAATTCGCTACTCAAACGCAACGTAAATGAAAGATTTTTTGAAAAAAAAGATCACATACGATGAAAAAAAACGGTCATGGGTGAAAACAAAATTAGCTACTGTTAGGTACACCAAAAACGGGTCTGGATCCGAAGAAGGTGATGGTCTGTGTCTGGTGGGACTTGAAGTTCATTGTGAACTTCTTCCGCAGACGTTGAATTTGAAGTACCATTCCCAATTGAACCGAGTAAAGACATAATCGATGGAAAACATCCGGAATTGGCCAATCAGAAAAGTGTTACCTTCTATCAGGACAAAGCTAGAACTTATGTTCCATTGCAGTTATGACAGCAATTGGCCCAGCTTACCTGGGATGTCCCACTTTACCCGTACTAGTCAGTTGGATTTCTACCTTTAAATTACGACTTATTTCAATCCTAATTCTTTGGAAGTCAATAAAAACTACAAAGGACAGTTCATCACCCAAAAGGATGCCAAGTTCTGGAAGGATGGAATCACGACGCTACACCAAATATGGCGAAATGTAGTGGAAGAACATGCTACATATGTGTCAGAAAATATTTATGTACAACTATCTAAATATTGTCTTTGAAATTTACTTAAAACGTTATACACTTTTGTTCCGACTCAATATTATAAATGTATTCGATTAGTAAGGCTTGCATTAATCAATCAAGCCTCTTAACCTTCTATTCTTTCTAACGTCTTTTCTATTCATATCACTCACCTCATTCGTCATTCTCATTTTGACTGTAACCCGCAACATTAAATGTCTCTCTGTCTTTGTATTCGGTGAAAGTTTGTAAAAAAAAAACCTCAAAAAAAAAAAAAAAAAAACAAAAAAAAAAAAGAAAAAGAAAAAAATGAAAAAGAAAAAAAAAACAAAAAGAAAAAAAAAGAAACTGTTGCTGATCATTCAGATTTCATGGAACGAATTGAACTATTCTCGTGCATTGGTATTTGTAAATTTAGTGGTTAGAACGTTCGCATTTTGACCATGAGACCCGGGTTCGAATCTCACCATGGTCGATTCGTCAGAAAAGAGACTTCCTAATGTTATGAGACTGGACGGGTCAATCCCAGCGTGCGAAAAGTGCTTGAAAACCATATCACAGGTTTACCCAACCTTGGTGAAGAAAAATTGGGTAGACGGAAGCCTTGGGTGTCGTCGATAGCTGTGCTAGCACGAAGTCACAGGTCATCGTGGCCGAGGGCTTGAGCGTACTGGCCTTGTTGGAATTGTTGATCACGCTAGATAACACGCTCTTTCCCAGAAACTGTAGCTAAGGTCTGCTCAGCATAGTTGCAGTATAAACCACAGGTGGGATCTGTGGGTGTTGAATAAACACAAATGCGCCTGAGCAAGTGTCTACGATAGGGATTGGCTAGCCACCCTAGTAGACGGGTATCCTCGAATACGACTGGCCAGCTATACTAGGAGTCGTTGAATTTCAAGTGCCCGTAAGGATAGCGTTTGTGTGTAATCAGAAATCACGTGATTGAAAAAAATGTTTGAAACATGGAAAATTAGGTAAAACATTTATTCTCTTAATTTTATTCTTTCCTTTATATAAATTCGTGAACTTACCATATAATTAGACATTGGCAGTAATTTTTTTTAAATCAATTCACCCCAAGCAAAGCGGGAGTGCCACTAGCACGCAAGGGGTTACAGAGGATTGAGAGCAAGAGTAAAGAAGCATGTTTGAGGAAAGGATACAGAGAAGGACGAGGAACAAGCTCAGAGTGTCAGATGTCGATTGACATTACACTTGAATATTTGAAGGTTATAGTCATCGGGGAATCAAGTAAGAGGAAGGGATTTCCACAGACGTGAAGTGCAGGAGGAGAAGTTGTCTGAGGAGAAGAGACGGTTACATTTAACCGTTTTGACAGTGAAAAGGTGGGA